CTTGAAAGCTTGTAAGCCAGTCACTTCTTGCCTTTGTAGCCCCCCCCCCCCCCATTTTGGGTAGCCAATGTCCAAGTTGCCCATCCCTGTCTACTCTGTGTATGGAGGGGGTGTCTGTGATTGTTCTTGCTACTACTCCTGTTTGAGAAGTTTAATCCTTATTCTATGGCCAAGGAAACAGGTTTAGGGGGGACTAGGGATGTGAGGAACTTGACACAATGAGTAAACTGTGTGAAGAACCCACATGTGGACCCCTTTATTGCCCACAGACTCCCATAGTATGATGCTTAAAGGTTTTTACATAATGCCAGGAAAAGGAGCGCTTTCAGGACCAAACTGATCATCATCTTCTCCCTCCCTCATCCCCACCATGTTGGGGAGGAGAGACGACACCTGCCCAGGCTGAGTCACTCACTGAACCCTCAAGAGCCATCTTTTCCCATCTCCCTGCCTTCCCAGGCAGGTTCCTCTCAGCCACCTCAAACAGACCCTGTGGCCCGGCCAGCTTGCCAGTACCTTGTTGTTGTTGTTGTTATTGTTGTTAAGTAGCTCCAGTCAGTTCCAATCCATAGCGACCCTATATAGGGTTACCCCGAGGGAGGAGATGGGACTGAGACTGAGCAGGTTTGAAGCGCTCATCTCAGGCTATTGGTTCATCATGCCTCAGGTTCTAGACACATGCTCGTCCTCCCCTCCCACCAATCAGTTCATCACTTTTATTTACCACTCTGAGGCTCAGCCTGGGACCTTGGGGAACAAACTCCATCTTGTGCTTCTGAGGAGAGACCTGGGGTGGTGAAAAGAGTAGACCAGACTGGGGTCTGGCCCCACTTTTGCCATTACTATGCTGTGTGACCTAGAATAAATCACTTCACTTCTCTGAATCTTAATTTCCTCCTCTGTAAAATGAGAATAATCATAGGCTCCAACTACCTCCGTGAATGGCAGTGAAAATTACCAGGTCCATCTATCATTATTGTTACTGTTACTGTTGTTTTTGGGGCATTAATGCCTTTTTGATAGTGGAGGTGTTTGTGGACAAAACATTCTTTGATGCCTAAGTTGTTGTTGTTAGCTGCCAGAACTCATGGAGATCCCATGCAAAATGACATCAGGCCATTGTAATCTATAGGGTTTTCATTGGATGAGAAATGCAAAGTACATGCAATAGGAAAGAGGCATTAAATAAAAACAGGATATGGAATGCAAGGTGGAGAATAATAAAAACGGCAGCTAACATTTATTGAGCATTGGCTGTGTGCCAGATTCTGGTCCAAGCACTGTACATCAGTTAGCATATTTCATCTTTACAAGAACACTATGGAGTCTGTTTGACAGATGAGGCAACTGAGTCACACACGATGCCTGTGTGATAGAGCAGGTAAATGTTGGAGCATGGATTTGAACCCAAGCAATCTGTCTTCAGAGCCAACACATTCCTATCTAGTACTTACACCTAACTGAGCCTAGAATGAAATGGAAATGAATCTGAATTTGGTAGGATCTAGAGTTTGAACTGCAAAGTTGGCGATTCAAGCTCACCAGCCACTCCTCAGAAACCCTATACAGGGTCGCTATGGGTAGGAACTGACTCCACGGGCACTTAACAACCACAGAGTCCTGGTATGGCACACTATGTGTGACACAAGAGCTACAATAGTGCTTAGTTCATAGCCTTGTTCAGATGGTTAACTGTTATAAAATATGAGAAGTACTTGTATTTAACAAGCCACAAATACATGCTACCTATTTAAAGACATGAAGTCCTGGTGTGGCACTGCTGGTGAATGCTCTGGACTGCAAAGTCCACTTAGAACTGGGAGGCTGCAGTTCAAGTTCACCAGCTGCTCCTTGGAAACCCTATACTAGGTCTTTGTGAGTCGGAATCCGACTCGACGGCACTTACCACAAACAACATTTAAAGACATTGCACATAATGTCTCCTACTTCTCGTAGTTTGAAATTCTAGAGTTATTTATGACTACCTGTGTGGTGATCCTCGTGTGGCGCTGTGGGTTAATGCACTGGACGGCAAAGTCGTTTGAACCGCAAGGTCGGCACTTCAAGCTTACCAGCCACTCCTCAGAAACCAAGGTTGCTGTGAGTTGGAGCCAACTCAACAGCACTTCACAACAAAAAAATGAGGCCTGGATATCAGGAAAATCAAAGAAACAACAGATTTCCCCCTCAGAGGAGATGACCATGATTAAGAACAGGGAGACAAGTGGCATTATTTGATGTATCAGCAAGATCTAGGTTCTCCTGGACCTTCCCCAGAACTTAGGGTTGGCCAGGCCTTTCACTTGTAGCCTCAAATGGTGAGGCTTCCTTCTTATCTGACAACTTCATCCTTGGGCTCTGACGGAGCTGACCTGTGCTAATGCCACCACCTAGTGACCACTTTGGGCATTGCAATATCCAGTGTCTGCATCTGTTTGTTGTGTGCCCTTGGAGCCTCATGGAGACCCTGTATAGGGCTTCTGTAAATCTTCACA